TGCTCATCCAATCAAGTTTCGATAAACCCGTTCATCATCAGCTCCTGCGGTTTCGAACACGCCTGTTAGGTGGTGCGGTAGACCATGCCCAAAGCCAGGGCCCCGGTAACGTGAGGTAGCCGAGTCAATGTAACGAGTCAGGCACCCTTTCTGGCTTTCCCTTGCACTTGCTTCCACCGGACGTCACATGAGCCGGGCTAACGTAAACTTTGTTCTTGATATTGCCTTGGGCCGGAATAACATAGCCGGCATTAAAGTAAAGTAAAACGGAAGATCTGGCTAATTGCCAGCTAGTAACTTCCCCCTACCCCGACCAGGGCCTCGGCCTGTCGGGAGCAAAATTCAAAAAAAAAAAAAAAGGGCAGCGTGCGCTGACCCAAGCCGGAGCCGCGCGTCCTCCCGGTGTCATGTGATAGCCCGGGGCTGCCCGCGGGGATGCGGTAGACCGCGCCCAAAGCTGCGGCCCCGGCTTGGGTCAGCGCACGCTGCCCCGACTCGGCTACCTCACGTTACCGGGGCCCTGGCTTTGGGCGCGGCTTCTGCTCATACTTTGTGGTGCGGTGGTGGTGCGTCGGGCTGCGCGCTCTGACTTCGGCCAAGAAAAATGCGTCAGCTGATCATCGTCATTTCTGCCACTTGCGTGTGGTGAAATGGGGTCATAACTTATAAGACGGCTTTTTCATATCAATTATTTTACATAAAATCATATTTCAAACCATAAATAATGTTCGACAGCCAAATACAAGAAACAATACCAATACGGGCTTACAGTTTAAGGCTCGACATTGTGTTGTCTACGATTAGACAGCTGATAACTCATTCCCGTACGTCGTATGGTCGTAACACTATAATCACCTTTGCTTATTGTCACAAGTGCGCCGCATTCGCGATTGTTGCCCGACGCCTGTTTGCAGGTGAGCCCACTACAGTTGTTATACATATCTAAAAACCGATAAACTTTTAGGCGAAAAAGGCACTATTCCAGGCCCATTTTTGATTTTTTTGCGATAATAGGTAAAAACAGAAGCTTCTTATCCTAGGAAAAATAAAATGGGAAATCTTTCAAAGGTGGCACACTACCTTTAAACAGAGGTGTCGGAACGGATGTTAGCATTCCCTCCATAGCTTAGGACGAAAATCCTATAGAAGAGCGAGGCTTTGATAAAATTTCGTTAAACGAATTTGTGATTCAGTCTTTTTTAAGCATGTTTTGAACACCACCTTGAACCTTGCTGCAGTTTTAATGCTTTCCAGCTGCTAGCGTAAGTATACAGGGTGTCCCAAAAGTAAGGTCATCATTTGTTCTGGCCACACCGCCAAAAATACGCGATGGATAGAAATAAATAGGACATCATTTGAAAGAGCATTTTATAAAATTTTATTCTGATATACATATGAGTCAATACATTGGCTCGTAGCCCCACATTTGCTGCTTTTCTGCATGGCTACCATTTCGGGCCGCGTGCACGAATAGACTGCGTTTTACTTCCTCCACTATTCTGGAGCGATTTTCTGGTGAGATGCCGCTTATGTTTGCTCGCAGGGATCATCCCTTAGTTCTTCCCGGCTCGTTGGGTTGTCCTAACAGACAACCTTTCCGTTGTGTACCCAGAGAATAAAAATATGAAGGTGTAACGTCAGGTGACCGCGGAGGCCATTCAATGGCGTTGCCCTGACTGAAAATTATGCGATCTCACATCCACTCTCGGAGACAATGCATGATCTTCAGGACGGTGCAAGCATAGTCTCCATCCTGCTGAAACCACTGCTGGTTGATGGTGTCGGCATAGCTGCGTTGCGACGAGCGGAAGAACCACTGGGAGGACTCTCGGCCACCTCTCTTGATTTATTTTCACCCGGTTCCCGCTGTCGTCCTCAGGACCTCGAAGCACAGGTGGCTAAGTATACATGCCCTGTGCGTACATTATACCTTTTTTTCTGACGTTTTACCGGTTGAGGCGAAACTATGCATGAGTTCAGAGATAGGGCGAGCTGATAGGGTCTGCTTAGGGCCGAAAACTGGGCGGTATTTACCCTTTGTTTTAATGACGGACCCTCTCTAAGAGTTGAATTTCGACCTTCTCAGTTTTAAGCCTACTGCTCGGTGTAGTTATGATCAAAAATGGTTTAACCCTCGCCGGACCTATTGGTTTTCTACATACGCGCCGGCCGAGGGGGGGGGGGCGGGTACGACCCCCCCTCGCCGTTTCGCCCCTGGTAGAGCTAGCGCGTCGCGGAAAAAACGAGCGTGTGCGCCGTTACGAGACGCAGAGATTGGTACCCGATTTTAAGGTCCTAGGTCAACCGGTGACCTCTGAGGTCAGGTCAAGTGCCCCAAGGTACGGTTCAGTTTTTGGTGAATAACTTCGTAAAAAACGGTCGCAGAGCGCCGATTTTGGCAGCATCGTGTTTGTCTCGCTCAGGCGCGTCGAATGATATACTTTTTGTCCGGGTCAGGTCAATTTGGGGTGTTGACCTCAGGTCAAGGTCAGGTCAGCACCCCCAGGTCACGAAGTTGGTCGAAAGGGGTCATGTCGCATATCATTCGATTCGGCAGGTCTTCCTGAGTCCATTGGTGGCTTTCCCGACTCGCTAGCTCAATTTGATCAAGAGTTATTGACGAAAAACTAATATGACCTTGATGACGTCATACATGACGTCACGCAAGGTCAACATTGCAAAAGTGACGCATCTAACCTTGCAAGGAGTGCATCAAATCACGATTCTCTGTGCTTGAGATAGTTGGAGATCGTTCCCGGCGCCAGAATAGCAGTTTGAATTTTTCCCCATTGACTTATAATGGTGAGGTCACGAAAATGACCTGACCTCATATGACCTTTAGGAAAAATCCGAGATATACAAGTTGTGGGACTCATAATGGATACTAGATCCTGCAAGTTTCATTTCCCTGTGACTTCTCCTCTGGCAGTGAGGGCGTTGCGAAGTTGCGACATCTGAAGGCCGTGCAGAGGTTCACATATGACGTCATAGGTCAGTGACCTGACCTGACCCAAAAATGCGGTTGGTGTCAAAAGATCCGGCTTGGATCAAAGGTCAGGTATGCCAAGTTTCAGCTCTCTATCGCCAGCGTGTTCGGAGCTATCGCGAAAAAACCCTATGGGGGGGGGGCGGCACCCGCCCCCCCCCCCCTCGGCCGGCGAGGGTTAAGCATGCAAGAAAATAATTTTATGGATGTACCTTGCACGTGTTAAAATTGGAAGTGATTCGGACTCTTACTTCTCGAGATATTTAAGTTTTAAATCATGACCTTTCTTTTGGGACACCCTGTACAAGGAGTTCTGTGTCCACCCACCCATGACATGTGTTTCAGATGCTTTTCAATGGTTCGTCACTGGGGACTTGACCTGACCTGACCTTAACCTTAACCCTTGCATGGTGTTGTTATAGGTAGGCAGTGCAGCCCGTCTTGGAAGCCTCATAACACTATGCAACAGTCATTTTGTTCCTGAGTAACGACCGATTTTTTGGACTCATTGGGTCCCATTATAACCGAAATGGGCATTTGTTTCGATCTGAAAATGCTTTTCCGGTTTTCAGAGACGATTTTCGATTTTTGGCCCCGAAATTCGGTTTTTGGCCCACTGTGTCCGGTGTAATTGAGTAATCGACTCGCGGTAACTTTCATCGCCCTTCCTATGCCACAAGCTTTCGAATGATATCCGGTTTTGCATATTTGCGTGTAAAAATAACGTCATAAATCTATGTTAAAGTAAGAAAATATTGAAATTTTGTAAAAATTTGACATTTTTTTCGATTTCATTTCAAAATAGAGAAAAAACTAAAGGCCCTATCCAAATTCTGAGCCCAGTTCCTTGAAGAGCATTCAATTTCCGTTCGGAAGGTACTATTTTAGTGCATTTTATCGGTTTACTGTGGCGTCCAGATTGAGTCACTTGAAAAACGGGCCCCCAACAGATCAAGATTCTGAGCGACAGGACTGCTCAAAAGTAAGTTCCTGCGTGTGACCCGAGGTCACAAGGGGTCAACAAAATGACCTCAGTTGACCCCTCGTTGATCCTATGGCGTTAACATACGTTATCAGGTTAATGCTATGTGATATGACTTAGGATATGTGTTTAGGTTAACTCAATCTGGACGCCACAGGAATCCGATAAAATGCACTAAAAAGGTACCTTCCGAACGGAAATTGAATGCTCTTCAAGGAACTGGGCTCAGAATTTGGATGGGGTCTTTAGTTTTTCCTCTATTTTGAAATGAAATCGAAAAAAATGTCAAAATTTTACAAAATTTCAACATTTTCTTACTTTAACATAGATTTATGACGTTATTTTTGCACGCAAATATGCAAAACCAGATATCATTCGAAAGCTTGTGGCATAGGAAAGGCGATGAAAGTTACCGCGAGTCGATTACTCAATTACATCGGACACGGTGGGCCAAAAACCGAATTTCGGGGCCAAAAATCGAAAATCGTCTCTGAAAACCGGAAAAGCATTTTCAGATCAAAACTAATGCCCATTTCGGTTATAATAGGACCCAATGAATAAGAAAAATTTGGTCGCTTTCCAGGAACAGAAAATTTTTCATTTTTTGTTGCATAGTGTAATGCGTCAATGCGTCATAGTGTAATGCGTCAATCAATCTGAATCAATTCTTGGTCAATTTGGCTTCAAAGCCAATAACGTAGAAATTTGTTGTTTGTACCCTAGACCCGACCCGACGTACCCTAGCCTGTGACCTACTTATGCAAAGCGTTCGGATTTTAGACAGGAGGCAGATTCTACCCCCACCCCTCCCCCAACAGGGTATATTCTGCTGAATACCCCAGCCAGTGGGCTAAGGAATGTAAATGGTCGTTATAGCATATTTCTTGCAAGAATATAGAAATAGTAAATACACTCAAGAGGAGAATAATTTTGAATTTTGTGCAACTAACAATCACAATTTAATGGCGTGCACCTGCGTGTCAGGGTATTAACTAGTGCAAGCTATGCATTGTGCAACGTGCATACACTCACCTTGCGTCTCAGCGTCTCGGTGACAATCGCTGTCACCGCCAGGATGTCGTCGTTGAAGCTCGACTTGACACCCTCGCCGTCCAGAAAGTCAGGTCCATCGATACGGTACACGACCTGTATCCGCTGGGAGAGGGTCTGCAGCACCGGCACCAGCCTGTCTAGCTCGTCCCTGAGCTGCAGCGGACAGCCCATCGTGCCTAGGCGCTGGCAGCCGGAGGTCTTCTTGGCGTACCACATGCCCAGTGTGAGGACGATGAGGTCCGGGCAGGCCGTGCCTTCGCGGCAGTCCCGTTCCACCACTGCCAGCCGCTCTGCGTAGCCAGCGCTCAGAAACGGAGTCCAGTGGAACGTGGCGTGCACCAGGTCACTGGACGCTTCCATGTAGCACGAGAACCTCGAGAGCCTGTTACGGAATACATGGAGACAGCGTACCCTCTTGCCATGGTCCAGAAATGTGGCGTTTGGTTTCTCCTTGAAGTCATCTTGCACAATATCGCGCTTGTTCAAATGTTCTAGAGTATCGTATAGTTTCATAAAGATAATGCGCGCTCGGGAATCACCGATGAACATGACGAGAGAAGGCCGGCCACGTCTCTCCCGCAGTTTTGTCAGACACGTGGTCGACTCGCTCGCGGGGAGACCGGAGCCACGACATGACCCTGGCCAGTCCTGTGACGGCTCCTCCCAGAACATCCGAGACTCGGAGAGCGAGAACAAACGTAGACAGCGATCTCCAGCTGTTGAGTTCCCGACGGATGCAGCACCTGAAATGGAGGTGCTAGTCTTAGTCAGTCAATCGTGGAGTGAACGAAATACTCCGCAAAATCTAGCAATTTTTATTAATGGAAACATTCCCCGGCCTAGTTCTTGGCACAAAGAGCTATGTAGATTCTTTCCAGTGTTGCTCAAAATTCGCTAAAAGGAAGAAAGCTCAATATTTGCTACCTGATTTACAATTCAAACGCAAACTTTTATTGCTTCAAGTTCAAGTGTGGTCAGGTGTCATAACGTCGTAAGTAAACTTTTGGACGAAAAAAGGGACTCAATTTCGCAGCGTTTTCATTGTCAGAAACGTTTCGCAAGAAGACGAAACATTCAGCAAATTGCAACGTCAATGGCACTTACAACCTAAATATATGTCTGTTCCGGAATTTTCGAACAGGTCGACTGAGCTCAGGCCAATCAAGTGACATTACCATATTCATCTTCACTCGTAGGCCGTATTGGCGTTTTCACAGTGCTTAACATAAAAGGGGAGGGAATCGGTCGGACCTTTCCCTGCCCCCTCAGTCCCTTCCTCCTTCTAGGCTCATGGAAACCTTTTTCCAGTGAGTTTTCAAAATAAACAGAACATATTTTCAAGTGAGAAATTAATAATGAATGTGAACTATTATATGTTGGTGTGGAAAATTTCACCGACTTGAAAGCTCGTCTAAAATTAGGTTAAAATTCATTTTAAAAAAGCTCCTTAAAAAGATTTGCTCCTTGCCCTCCAGAAGGTCGTGAATCAAGACCCAGAGTCAAAATTACAGTGAATTTCAAACCGAAATATCGAAAATTCATTCTGAAAGAGTGGGTATAGGGACATCACAGCCGGTAGCGTGGAAGATAGTAATGAAGTAATTGAAATGAAATGTTACATATGATTCAAAAAGAAAGCTAGTTGACAATCTAAATGATCATTTTTAAAGAAATGCTAACCAGGCATTAGCCACTAATGGAGCTATTACTTGCCATAATGTGTCGTCTTGCTGTTGTGATGAAGTTGGCTTCCTATTCGCTTCTTGCCACTGAAGTTGACAAGATAAATCATACATGTGATATATGTGACTGCCGTGGCTGCTACCAATAACCTGTAAAAGCAAAGACACATTCACGGCACGATTCATTTTGCAAAAGCGAAAGGAAGCAAGGGTTGATGCAACATCCACATTCTGCAATCTCCATGCTTAGTAAGTTCGTCGTTGAATGCCCGATCGGTGGAGAGGAGACTAGTGGAATGCTAGTTTGAATGGTCAACTGAAAAAAATTAATCAGCGTTCTTCCGAATTTGGACGAGCGTCCATTTATGATGCTTAGTACCAAGCTTACCATATTACGAGTATGCATCATGGTCCCGGAAAATGTCAAAAGATAGTTTCCATTTTACATGTCCATGTGGACTGGATCCGTGATTGACCTGAGTTCCATGCAGCTGTGCGATTTTCTTACACGCCTCTCGTCCTTTTGCCTTCCAGAGCGGTAAAAGTGCATGCATTTGTCTATAGCTGGGGCAAAATTTGCAATACACCATCTGAAGTGCCTGTTCGACGTAGGTTTGCATGATCATCATTTTTAATGGAAGAAAACACAAAAATCAGCAGCACTCAATGCTTTCAAATTAAGGGCCTAAAATTGTGCTGAGTTTTTATGGCATTGAAGATCAATTGATTGTGCCAAAGCATAGCCCCTGCCCTGGCAGTTGGTGCGACCCCTTCCCTGAGATTTTTTTTTGGCGATGGGTTCCGAACTTTTAGTCGGATTGTGCTGAAATTTCCCATAGCCTCTGGGGCATCCTTTGCGCAGCTTTTGGTAAAAAAAAAATCGGGTCGTGTCAGGGCACTTAGCTATGACGTCATAATTGGTACAACCTCCGAACGTTTTTTGACAAAATCGTACAATCCGCGTAACTGTGCGTGATCTCATCGACAAGAACTAAACTATTCCGTGTGATTTATGTCAGATTTTGACAGGACATGAATCTGCACATTGTATATTGACCTTTCTAAGATCAACCAAAGTCAATGACCTCACATGCTCACACGCTGACCTCGGTGATATGAGCTGTGTTTAATGGGGTTTCTTGAGGTCCTGAATACGAATCAGTGGCTCAGTTTTCACCTAAACGCCTTCCAAGCTGTTCCTTGACCTTTGTAAGGTCAACCCAGGTCAATAACGACCGTCCTCGCCGGCGGCGGGTGTGACCTTCCGTGTTTCCGGGGATTACGTCACGCCAGTAATGACTGAAATGCAGTCAACTATTCATCATTTTGTTGCTTATTTGTTAAGAAACACGGTCGTGAATGTTTCATGTCGCTATCTTTCATAGATTCGCCAATATTGGCTAAGTAACTTGGAAAATCATAGCTTTTCCCTGAAATGTGACCTTTGACCTGCCATAGCTGGGTCCAATATTGACCTAAGTTCAAAAATGTACCACCAATCGCGAGTTGAGAGCAATCGACTGGTCTTTGTTGCGAAGCGCTACGACGCTTAGTTTCGAAACACAAAGGGGGGCGTCGCATCGACCTTCCCCCCCCCCCCCCACCCCCACCACAACCAGGCCGCGCTATGAAAAATGCCCTACCAGTGCGAGGGTTAAAAAATTCCTGTAAATGAAAACACACTAAAATTAATAAAAGTATGCTACCAAATGTTTCATATCAAAAGACAACAATTATGAACTGGAATATTAGGAGCTGCGGGATGCCGTGCACGGCATCCAGCAGCTCCTAAAGTAAAGGATTGGTTACCTGAACATTGAATTTGATGTACGACGCCGTAACGAAGCATGCTTGTCTGACCACGCCATTGCTCCGCCCCCCACTCGGAGTCCGTCGCAGCACTCTCAGACCATCCCTCCCCAGCACTGCTCAGTACGCCCGCCTGTGGTCGACTGCGGTGGCCTCTTGTTACACTCGCCGAAACGCTCTGGAGCTGCAGCCTCCTCCCGTCTCTACCCGAGCACACCTGACTCTGCCCTCGCTGCTGCGACTCCGGATAGCGGCAGTGGTGAGTCTACGACCCACTGGTACAGGCGAATGTCATTCGGGGATTATGTAGTCCTCTTTGCTTATTCTGTAACCCTCGCCAGCCAAGGAGCCAATTCAACCCTCTACGACTACGACTACGACTTGATCGACTACGATCAAGCATAGCGTAACTAACGATACAGTGTGTAACGCCATCTTCCAAATGTTCACGACTCAAGAGTAGAAGCGGTTAACGCCAAAACTTATCTTTTTGCATAAATTAACTATTTTGCCTTATTTTGTTGCATGCTTTTCATCTACAATAAAGGTAAATTTGATTTTGAAATGACATTTCACATAACTTTCGGCTAAGAACTGTGAAACAACTCCAAAGTATGTGCATACCTACATTTAAAACGGAAATTCAAACAAACAAAAGGCTGTAAAACAGAGCTCTGATTTGGTACCTATTGCATTTCCTTATATCCGATCCTTCGCCTATCAAAAGTATATTGTTGTCAAGAGTAAAAACACATTATTAGAAATGTGAACAAAAGCGGCCTTTTTCAGCGCTTATGAGTCTTCAAACCAAGGCCATCTATAGAAGGTACAGTCACTCCCCCGCCGACCAATCAGAGACAGATCCTGAGTGACGTCACCCCTGATGCTCGTAAGGGGTACTCCATTCCTTTACAACGTAAAAATGACTAACTTCATTTGAAGATTGTTGGTGACACTCTACACATATCGCTCAACCGTTGATCTCATTGGCAAGTCCAACTAATTTTCTGGCGATAAAAAAGCAGCAATATGCTAAGAAATGGCCGGTTTTGAAGATATAGACGATTTAAAAATCCTCTGCAGTTGCAGGAAAGCAACGGAAAAACGCATCAAGCTTATATTTTTACTATGAATAAATCATTTTTCAGTTAGTTTTTAGATCAATGGTATCGATTTAATCAACAACTTTATTACAATATTTTTATAACTTGTAACTTAATTTCAAAATAATATTTTCAAAAATGGCAACTGTTGGCAAGTAGCTTTGAAGCGATTGTGGCGCACCGCGCCATTATTGTCCTGAGGCCCCCTTATGATGTCATCAAAAGTGGAGTGACATGGGCCTGCTTCAAACGAGAGTTTCCACATACTTATATTTCATCCTATCCTGTCTTATCGTATACATAGACGTTGTATTTCTCGGTTTATTTTAAAATTTTATGCTGTTGTTGACTGTTGTGTTGTTTTGATTAGACGCTTCGCACATGCTTCACAAAAAAAGATGAACTGTGTAAGATGATGTCAAACGGCCATCCAATATGACATGAATATTGAATAGTGAGACGTTTGAGCAAATGTTCGTGACTGCTCATGCTGTTCCTTGTTTGATTTGGGGGTAGGTATGGGCACGCACGCACGCACACTCACATTCACTACACGCACATACACTACACACGCGCATACATAACTGCAAACGGACCCCCGTTATGATCATGCAATGACAAACCACATTCCACGACCGCAACTGTCCGGTTTCCAGTTTCCTTCATCCGTGTCCCTCTTTTGAGCTCCTTCATTCCTAGCCCACCATCGTCCCACCACTCCCTCTGCTCTCAGACCGACGGCAGGGGACGGAAGCAATGCCAGGAGCCGCCATTGTGACCCGCCGGAGAATCTGTCTCCCCCGCCCAGCCGCGGAAATTGAGCGCCGTACGGAGCCGGAAGGGCCGCCGGCCTGTGATGAAGCGCAGAGACGCCGCGGCTCGCGCAGGTGACGCGGCGCTGCGCGCGCTGATGTGATGTGATATGTCATCATATGAGTGACGTAGCTCACGTCACAGATGTCACGGATAGCTCATTTGTATGATATGCCAGGCTGGGCAGTTGGGGACGCTCGCTGGATGTGAGGCCACATTGACCACATATACATATGTGCTGGGACGCATACTGAAAATGGACACAGTCCGGCGCTTCTACGGATACCTCGCAGTCGCACGGTGCAGGTCATTATAGAGTTCAGTGGTGCAGGTATAGAGGCGAAGAAAATGCGATTTGAGCGCAGCAGCTCATCAATATGTCAGGGTCTGATTCAGTCGCAAGTGGTATAGCTAGATTTTTAGATCACGGCACGTGAGACGCAGTTAGAATCAATAATTCAGATTATCCAGGACGTTTCAGTGGTGTTGAACTCTTTTGTCGCACCACATAATGCATTGAACAGATAAATGTGTGATGGTGGGAAAGCGATGATGGTGTTGGAAAAAGAAAGGAAGAGAGAGAGAGAGAGAGAGAGAGAGAGAGAGAGAGAGAGAAAAAAAGAAAGAAAGAGAGAGAAGGAGAAAGAGAAAGAGAGAGAGAGAGAGAGAGAGAGAGAGAGAGGGAAAGAGGGAGAGAGGGAGAAAGCCGCAGAGATAACTTCCCAAGGCCATACTGTTGCTACTCGCTACATATGTATATTATCCATGCCAGGCCAGACCTCTTCATTTAGCGCACTAGCAGCGCTACTAGCGACAAACCACGACGGGACGTCGATCGTCGCCGGCGACGGGCGTGGGAAGACGCCCCGGTGTCGTGGTGCGACGAGTGTAAGAGGATGTCTCGGTGTTGGATTACGGGGCTAAACTGTCGGTGCGTCTCGCTGAGCCGGTCTTAGCCGCTCCGTTCTGGTGTGTGACGGTCTCTACCAGACACCGATCAGTACCAGGGTGAGGCGATTACCATTTACCACCTGTCAGCACAGCTTACAATATACCTAGAACACAGCGAAGTAGGTACGGAGAAACAGCAGTCTGAGCTTCCTGCTATCCATGGGATCGTGTCGGGTGAGACACTCCGTCGTTCAATACAGAGTGAGTCAGCGTTCACCGGTCAGTAAAGGGTCGAGACATTCCCTCCTCTCAGTGCGAATTTCACAGATGGAGACAAGCCCTTTTCTCAGTAGAGAGTGAGAGAGTGACTGTACGAACCGTACGGCGCGAGACACATGCGATGAACCGTGTCAGGCAGACACTGGCAGGGGCGAGTTACGACGAGTTACGGCGACCGCTCAACCGGTAATGAACGGCTCCGCCACCACCCGGTGTTGGCTCAGCCGATAATGGCCCGCCTGAGTCACCGCTCACCATAGCTAATGTACGGCCGACATGTGTGCACGGGGGACGACCAACTGACACTGAGCCCGTAAATCACCACCCTACCGGGTCCGTCAGCTGTAATTGGGCGGACCGACTTCGTCACACGGCCCTGAATACATTGTTTATGCAGTTACGTGACGGATCGGCCACTGTGACGAGCCGCGCCGGCAAGACTTTTTAAACGAGGCTGGCCAACCATTAATTAACTGGGGATTATTATTAGGTCAAAGAACTTAGGTAATGAAGAGAAATGGGCCGTCAACGTAAGCATTTGAGTAGATAATTTGGCCGACACTAAACTAGGTGATGAAATGCCTCTGCATTGTTTTTGAAGACGCTTATCATAGGCGGTGGAACGGGGAGGGCACCGGGGCACCGCCCCCCTTGATTTGGGTATTTTAACATTAGCCCTATGGGCGTTGCATGGAAAGAATGGGACCAAAAATCGGCAGTGCCCCCCCCCCCTTAACCCGCGCCCTGGTGGGGTCTGTTTATAACGCGACCTGGTGGGGGGGGGCTATTTTTTGCCCCCCCTCGTATCTCCGAAACTACTGGACGGATCCGCAAAATTCAAACGGCGTTCGAAAGCCCTGTCAAATTTGTCGAAGGAAACCAAATTTCATTGACCTCGGGGTCACTGATGACGTCACAGGTCAGGTCAAAGATGAAATGTTTCACCGTTCACGGGTCCTCTAGGGAAGGCGCTATTACACCGAGGAAAACGCATTTTGTCGAGAATCAGCAATAGGGCGTCAGTTGCCTAGTAGATATGTTGCTATTAGAGGTCACTGACAATACTAGGTCAGGTCAAGGTCAGGTCACCAAGGGTCACAGGTCAGGTCACATGAGCCCAACTTTACTAAGGTTGTGTGATGCATGTTTTATGGCCAATTTTTCATTTCCAACTCAATGGTGTTGGTTATAAGACTATCAGGTACGGCTTAGGTCACTTTCTGGTGAAGTTCAGGTCGAGGTCAGGTCAAGGTCAGGCCAAAAAGGTCAAATTTCAAAGTTGATAGTTTTGCATAAAATGGGTATTGATTCGATGCAGCTCGTCACGGGGAGTCTAATGGTGGTCTTTGTTTTGCGCTACGGGGTCTAGAATTGCTAAAAATTGAGTTTGAAAATTTGACGTCATCAATTTTGAACAGTTTTTTCGCTATAACTTCGCCAAAAAAAGAGGTATCAATCTCAAATTTGGTATGTGGATGGAAGGCGGTAAGGACTATCACATATATTCCGGTTTTTGCGAAATTCAAAAAACTTTTTGGATTTTTCGATTATTATATCCAAAAAAAAATATTTTTTTGATTTTTGGGGGTCAAAATCCAAAAATTTCAAAAATCCGAGATAGCAGTTTTGTAGCCCTGTCGATTCTACAGCTTTTATGTCTTTATCATTTTTCTGTATTTGCAAAGCTATAGGCCTGACAGCTCTTCCCGCGAAACCCTTTTTTGGGTCGAAAACGGCAGAACATGACGTCACTCTGACGTCATTTCCGGCCAACCTATCATAGCTTATGGAAAATTTTTTGGTCACAATGTGTAAAATTGATGTCCGGGAGGGTACTGAAAGTTTGGTGACGATCGGCGTAGCGGTTCTCGAGATATATCGAAAAGTCTGGAGGGGGGGCAAAAAATAGCCCCCCCCCCCACCAGGGCGCGGGTTAAAGGGAGATAATGACCTTTTTCCACAAAATCTGAGTAAGGACCATTTTCTGACAAAACACAACAAGTTATAATGTAAATTAAAACCATTTTGCTCAATTCGGTACCTTGCCGCAAATATCTCAAC